GTACGATTAGTGCGGTTGTAATGCACTTCATTGGGCCGCTACCACTGGTACGGGATGTATCGGGACTAAATTTTAGGAAAAAGGACAATGAGTACCGAGTAATGTTGACCACTTCGCCTCGCGTACGAGCTTTATTTTCTTGTAAAGACGCAGAGGTGTAGAAATGGTCGGTATGACAGCAAATATATATATTGATTAAACATCATATGTCCCGTCAAGTTACACACGGCACAAGGCCCGGGCGACGGGTTTGGACAAATCAGGAGGGAGGTCGAAAGAAGTCTTAAGCAAGTTTGGCATTTCGAAAGGGTCAGGTATCGACAAGCCGCAATCGTGTGACGAAAAAAAGAATCAATCGTGCGTCTAATCCATGACAAATTAATGGGAAAAAAATGCTTTCTTTTGGAACATGTGGTGTTGTGTATCAACAGGCTTCAAATTGAAGTGGAAGGCTGTTCGTCAGCTGCCGGCCCATATTTAGGCAAGCCTAAATGCACATCCCCTGTCTAGTCAGCGGCCGCATGCGATATACGACGACATGCGAGGCGGTGCCCCAAAAACGATTATTTTCATATCTGTTTGGAAGATATCATTGAGTGCGTCATAAAATAAGTAAACGGTGAAAATTCTTGAGCATTGGAGGTTGTTTTAAGCTCTTTGCCTGCATTTGCTGGGCAACTGCGTCTTGTCCAGGAAAGCCTTGAAGATTGGAGACTATGTAGATTATCAATAATTAGCTTTCTGGAGATTTTCACGGTGTATTGCCGTTGCCTCTTTCATGTACCCCTGAATAAGTTTGATACAACGTCCTTCGACAGGATTCGTCGTCTATCCCTTCACTACGCAGGAGTACGACTGAATATCTGGGTATAACACGGGCGTGATGTTGTTCGAATAGCTTGGCAGTAAAGAGCTCATGGCGTCAGAATGGTAGTCGGGGGCGCCGCAGCTCGCAATCGTGCCATACTCACACTCAACGTCCTAGTTTTAATTTTGCCTGTGTCCACTTTAACCTGAATGCTCAGATATTCAGCCAAACGAAGATTAAAGTGCATTCATCAAAGAGGTCTCTAGGGTCCATACCCTTACACTATTGCACGACATGACATCTTTTCTCTTATTCTATTTCATCGTCTTTTCCCTACCAACGATCTACTTCAACCAAAAGGGTCGCTGATTTTTGATCTGAAAACGCGTCGTCCAAGTGACTGCACCTTGCTGCGACCGGTCTCGGAATTTAAGTACTATACGCGCTCCACACGGTGTACTTCACAAGACGTGAAATTAATCTAAAATTCGCTGAATTCATGAATCACCGCATGACTATCGCAAGCACCGACGATCCTTCGCATCTTAATTGTGCAATAAAAGTGTGCCGGCTACCTATAAACTGCATACATCGATCGTTGTTAGGACGTGTGTCGATTATTTGGAAGAGAAAAAGAAAAAGCACGGACGGATCCAGCCATCCTCGCGCTAGAAGATAATCAATATTACCGCCGTCTTGTGTTACCCCTTTTTTGAGAAAGGAAGGGGTTTATGAACAACTTTATCTCGCGGTAGTATGCTGGAATTCAGAACGATTGAGCACAGATGGCACGAAAGTATGCAACGCTGCTATTCCTACAATACTGTTTTGGTGACCCTTGGGAGAAGCATGCGTCGTCTAGTTTATGTCTTCCTATTTGAAAATATGATTTCAAATGCATAGACGTCATGTAAAAATTTCAGAAGTCTAAAAAAATTGCTCGTTATCGACCCATCGACGTTTTTTAAGGAAATTTGCGAAGATAAAGTGCCTCTTAGCTGATGTAGTCACTTTTCACAACAGAGCCGCGGAGATTTATTTCTTCTCCCGGCAATTTCCCACAATTCCAGGGAATGGTGTATACTTAAATTATCATTTTTTTAAATGAGCTGCCAAAACTTTGTTGATCCATGCATATGCATATAAAAATATAACGGGTTGTATCATTACGAACTCGTTTGTTTTCCTCCTTAATGCCCCCTCGATGATCATGTTTCTTATAATAGTCTGGATGTGTTTTGAAAGAAAATGAAACCGACACCACACACACAAGCCATCAATGTACAAACATATTCGTAAATCACGTCCAATTTGAACGTAAACGGGCCACAAATTACGGAAGATAGGGCCGAAAAGCGCGGTTTAAAAACCTGAAAAATTATGAACGAATGGCGGGGCACATGGGCCGGCGCGTGCCTCCTCTGCTCTCTCCGGCGGCGGATCCTCCGTCCCACCCCTCGTTCTGGGAATTCAGGCCGGCAGCTATCCTTTCACTGGGACTGGGCGGGAATTAAATTTGAAACATGTCCAACATTTTCCACAGGATTTCGGGCTCGCGGCCTCATTTCCAAGAGCAGCAGAATCATATGTGTCTATATCAGGGGCTACCTTTATTGAGCAGAGGCTGAGGACACATAGCACGCGCCCAGAGGGGCGAGCGGTGACCTATGGGTATGTACACGGCAAATGCCGATTAAAAACTTCAGCAGTACTCAGTTTCTCGCATATAACGTGGAGGTCGTAGGTCATGTCGTTTGGGAGAATGCGAACAACAGTAGAAAGGGGAAAGCAAGTCAAACGGACGATGACTGAGACTGCGATGAGGGAGAAGCCAGGACATAGAGGACGAGAGATAAGCGAATACATATCAACATTTGGGCAGTACCTCTCACCCACTGATTGAACACTCCTTATGATAATTTTCGCAGAGAGTGACGAAGTAGCTTCAGCTGGGAAAACGGCTGGTACTTCTGGATCAGATATATGTCATTCAACACCTCTGTCGCCGCAGCTCGCAGGGAGCACCGGAGGCGGCTCAAGCGATTCGAAGGAAAGCTCAGATGGTATCCATGAATGTAACTTATCCATGATAGGAAATCTTGAATCTCAGCCGTCCATCACCTCACCCCCAAAATGGGGCTCGAGGGACCATGAGAATTCGTTGAGGAAGCATGGGCCGTGGCGAGAGGTAAGAGATTGGAAAGTGCACAGCCATCATTGGTCAGTGGTCGATCGGGCATGCATGAATGCGAAGGATGACGTAGATGTATTCGAAGGCTTTGTCCCTTCCCCCGTATACTCCGCATTAATCACTTGGGATTGGCCAGCGTGAACCCTTTGGGACCTGTACGATCGCGTTCCTGACGCGAGCATCCAAAAATCGAGCAGCGGTCAACGACGTACTGTGCAAATGCCTCCCGGCTATTGGTTTTTCCTCCCGACGAGGGTAGATGCTTACTCGTTTGTCCCTTGCCTCTTCCCCCCGCACGTCTTACCTCACACAGACCGCGCCGGCACCGAGGGGATGTCGCCACCTCTGCAGCTGGCAATGGATGCGTTGGAGTGTGGGAATGGCCGTGGCCCTCCTCTTGATAGTCGTGGGGTCATTTCTCGTGGCTGGAGGCCGCAGCAAGCGCTCCGGCAGTAACAATACCGCTGGCGTGCAGGTCCTTGACCATACAGATCCCCTGCCTAATTCTGGTGCGGGGCTTCCGGCCTCAGCACCAGTCCGAGAACCGCCTTCCCAGGATTGGGGGGAAGCAACAACTATGTCAGAACAAGGCGACAAGGAGGAGGTGAGAGCCCCGCCGGCGATGGGGGCGTCGGGAACATCTTTCCAAGACCTCCTGGACGCTACCACCACCCACGGTATTCCTGCGGAAGATAAAGCGGAAAGCACGACCGATTTTTGGGGCAACGAAATTCCTTCCGCCGACGGAGAGGCGGAGGAGGTGGACGCGGATTTGATGGACGAGGAAGGCCAGGAGGTGGAGGTGGATGAGGTGGCGGGTGTGTGTTTCGTCGAGAATTCCATCGAGCTTCGGAAGGCGATAGTGAAAGAGACTTGTTCGATGATCCAGCTTGCGTCCATGAGCAACGACATGGGGGAGATGGAGCAGGAGACGGTACAGAAGGAGGGAGGGAGGGAGGGAGGAGGACATAGGAAAAGCTCATATCTGGGTACCGGTTGTTTTTGGCTTTGACCCTCCCTCCACTTACCTCACGATAAGCCATTATTCATCACCCAAGTGTTCTCACATCCAAGTTTGCTCAATCTCCCCCCCTGAGCTCTCGCCATGGGCAAGAGGGCCCAGACCACCGCTCACTTTGATGCCACTCTCCTAGTTGCACGTGGCTCATGCACCTCCGCTATTTTCCCCACCTCCTTTCCCGCCTCAGGATGACGAGATGGACATGCTGGACGAAATCGATGGGATGGGGGGTAGGAACGGTCAGTATGAGCTCTACAAGGAGATCGTCATCCGCCGCACGTTGACCATTCAGGGGGATTCGGTAGTCCTGCCCAGGATTAATTGCGACGAAGCAGTCAGGTGTTTGCGGGTCAAGGTAAAAAAGGAGGGACAGAGGGAGTGGAAGGCATGCGGCAACATGGTAGGGCAGCATGTCATAATGTTTTTTGATTCAATGTCCTTATTTGGGGAATCTCTATTCTTTTTGATGCCTCCTTTGTACTCTTCCAAGGCTGGTGCCCATTTGACCCTCCGGTACGTGCGGATCAACACGGGTAAAGGAGAGCTCCGCCCGAGGCTTTTCCCCCTGTCGCGGAACAACGAGAGTGATTTTTTCATGGACCAAGTCGTGGAAGTGAGGGGGGGCACGGTGCTCTTGGAGCCGGGGGCGAAAGGGGCAGATTTTATTGGCGTCACATTCATAGGCGATGAGGGAACGCGCAAGGTGAGTCCAGTCTGGGCCCGACGGACGAGATAGGATGAAAAAATGAAGCATTTGAGGGAAGAATGAGCTCGTGCCTTCTGCGTATTTCGCCTTTTCAAAGGGGATATTGGTGGTTAAGCCTTGAAACGAGTCATGCTGACCGATCAAAACCACGACAGGAGGTGGAGGAGGCGCTCTCCCGCTCATTTGGACAGTACGGGTCGCGCGTTTATGGAGGCAATGTACGGATGAAGACAGTTGGGGAGGGATAAAGATGAGCAGTATAAGGATTGAGAATCTTGAGTTTGATTCATTCCCTCTCGTACACAGGTGTTCATGGCGGGGGGACGGGCCAACTTTGTCCGCTGTACTTTTTGGGACTTCCAGGTGAGCTTTTTGGAGCGATGCTTCCGTCTTTACCCGACGTCCATGTGCAAGCTTACATGAATATGTCATGGTCATGAAAATGGGGTGGCGGGAGTGATGCTTGCGTGGGCGAGAAGATGGCGCTTGGTTCAGAAGCAAATCGCAATGCACCCGGCGATGGCATCAGCCATGGGAAGGAAGGATCCTCCTGTCGCATTCACATGGTTGTAGGAGTTGGCACCCTGGTGCAGGAGCTTTGTACCGTGTTCTATTCCACAGCCTCTCTCTTCGACCTCGAACAAATTGCTAGTTTGATCGGCGATAGAGGAGCCCGTCTCATCTTTTCTCCTTCCCTACTACTTTTTCCATTCAGTACTTGGCTCCTCTTACGGACCACATTCGTTTCGGTGACAACCTCTTTCTCTTGCGAGGAGAAGCTTATTTCACCGGCTGCATCCTGATTTTCAACACCATCATCGGCCTTGATGTGGGCTTTGGTACGTGTCTTCCCCTCCCACCATGCGTTCTACTTTCCTTCCTCTTCCTCTTCCTCACTTTTCCCGAGTCGACAAGACAAAGTATGGATTGATATATTATACGACGAAGGAGAAGCACGACGGAACATCTCTAATCCCGTCCTCCAATTTATTCCTATCAGGATTAAATATTTCTCAGTGGGGGGGGCTTTTGGTCTTCACCTTTTCTGTCATCGTGCTTAACAATTTAATCTCTCTAACTGCGGTCGCCGGACAGGTAAGAGAAGCTGGACAGACAAGAAATGGAGAAAATCATAGGGGCCATCATGTCGATGAAAATTTCACCCCCTTGTCGTGTCAATTATCATCGATAATCTTGTGCGGCTTGTTGAATGATCGAATATGTATTAGCTGTGTCATTCGACCCTTGGCCCCCAGATAAATAGACGCGTGAAGCATCCTTTTTCAAATGGTGCCGCAGCTCTTGACATTGACACAAATTGACAATTGCCCACCGGAAAAATACAGACAATCTTTTGTGCGCGCGGAGTGATGGTCTTCACGGCGGTGGAGCTAATTTTCAATAGGTGAGAGACGGCAGCAAGTCGGTTCATAACGCTTGCGTTTCATTTCTTGAAAAAATAATGATCTTCGTATCTATATTTCGACGATAGTGCGATAGAAAACTTCAACGGCATGGGAGCAGCCACATTAGGATCAGGTACGAATAGAGAGAATAGGATGGACAAATAATGACTCGCCAAGAATGTTCCTCCCACGTACCGAATTATTTTTGTGGTGTGGTGATAGTAGATTCCATGGTGAAATCGTGTCCGCTGATTACCGATAGAATAATACGAGTCCATTCGTTCACCACCATCCCCATCTTGATGAACAGGAGCAAGCATTTGGACCGCCTCAGCGATTCAAGATGTGTATGGGATATTGGCAGCCTTTGGGCTCGGATTCGACATCACAAATTGCGCAGGCGTCCTTGTCAATGTGCACGTGGCTGCCAATCAGGTTCGAAATCGGGAAACGGAGGGAAAGGCTGGCATTGTCGGGTTCATGTGGGACGAATTCGTCAAGAATGGATACAACAATTTTGTCACCCGCGCGTTTGGACCGCTTAACTTGTTGTAGACCAGACATAAAGGGGGTGTTACTTTGACTACTACCCACCTTATTTATACTGATACACGAGTACAAATCAACTCATGCATCTTTCTAACCCCACTACGTGACAACGGGCACAGTTTATTGCCATCTTGTACGGCGGTCTTCTGGGGGGATTTGCTTTCAATGGTGCAGGGGTGTATATCGGGCACTTTTCTCCCTTTGTCTCAATGATAGGCTGCGGAGTGGAGGCAGGCGCGGTAAGTGGGTTCGCGTGGGTGTCAAGTCTTAGTCAACAGAGAATAAGAATTTGTTTATGGCAGATGTGTACTCCTCAGTCAGGCAGATAGCGTCACGCCTCGGTGTCAGCCATGTTTCCGTTTTAAAAGGATGGCTTTAACTCAACATGTGGCGACCTTTTTCTTCTCGTTAACACACAGGGTGGTTACGCATACAACGTCGGCATTGCTTCGTTCCATTGGTCTTCTGTGACCACGTTCGCCGGAACTTGGAGCGCTTTCATGTATGGGGGAATGATTAGCGTTCCCGCAGGCTTTTTGGTGTGGATTTACTGTCCCACTGTGGCAGTATCCGGCGTGGAAAGCTTCTGGGGTCGGGGTGGTACCGTCTTCGTCGGGGCCGGGGCGGCTGTGATGGGAAGGTCACCTTTGATAGAGATCATGCGCATCATAAATTTGCATGCAGACTACTGGATTATGGTACGGAATTGATAGAGTTTAGGTGGGGTACTAGTAGCGTCTTCCCAGAATTTTGGGGGGATAATCTCCACTCCATGCGTGTCGCTTGTGAGGCGCCTCGGACGAGGTACAACCATTACATGTCGTTCTGGGCCGTGTGCATAGAGGATCAATTTGATATGGGTGATATAGGAAGCTTGATGTGTAAAACGTCGATATGAGCATGGGACTGGTGTGGCTGTGGAGGGACCTGGGGATATAGACAGGCCTCTTTTATGCGGTGTTTGTCCGTCTCCTGCTCCCTTTAGAGGAGAGCATTCGTGTGTGAACGAAGATTAATCCCATCCCGTCTCGGCTGCAAAAATAGGGATCGTGCGAACCATTCGTCGAGGCATGGGCGGGGGGGCCCATCAAGTTTTACGCGCCATTGCAGGGATGCAACGTCAGCGAGGAGGTAAGCATGCCAGCTTGAGCAAAGACTTACATGCCGGGAGGAATATTTAAGGGATGGTGCCGAGTCAAAAAGAGGAGAAGTATAGAAAAAATGGATGGCGCAGTGGGAGGGATGAGATTATAAATTCATAGCCGGCGTGGAAAAAGAGGGACTCAGACAGGGATTACAGTGGGATTTGTGCGGCTGCCTTGTCATCCCTTTCTCCCTACAAATTTCCACTTCTCTCACATAGGTCCCGGAGTCCGAAGAAGGGGGTTCCTATCACGGCGAAGAGCGGCGAAACCTTCTGGACCAAGGGTATCGAGGCAAAAGGCAGCTATCACAGACCACTCTTCCACCTATGAATGGAAACGGGACAAAGAGGAGTTACGGTGACGGCCGTATAGCCGACACGACGGGGAAGGGTGGCAGTGCCGGCGGACCGACGTCGAGCGATAGAGGGGTGGAGGAGGCAGCGAGAACCTCGACGAAGGTAAGAGAGGTGGTCGATCGACAAGAATGCACAGGCATGCGCGGTTTGACATTTCGGTCTGTCTGTGCATTATTCCATGTTTTTGGTTGATTGCTTGATCGTTCTGCTCTTTTTCCCTCTTAGCCTCTCCACTTTCGCTTTTCGCTCTTCCTCTCCGTGCCTTTCACTCTTTACCTTCCCTGTCACTTCCACATTGACGTGTCCTATAGACGTCCTTGATCGCCTTTGGGATGTCCCCGCGCACGAAAAGCAGACCGGACAAGATCTTCGACGCCATCCCCCTCAGCGATGATCCGCTTTTGCAGGTCGTGCTCGGGAAAGCCAGGCTGGAGGTAGGCAAGAGGAAACTGAGGGGAAGAACGGGGGCATGGAAAGGCGGGCTGGCACGCAGATGTCGCTATTTCTCGTCACGACCAGATTGTCTGTTTTCCCTCGCGTATGTGTCCTAACCCTTCCCAGAGTCGTACTCTTGCCTACCCCTGATTTATGCGCGTGACCCTCCTTGTTCCTTCTTTCCCTCGGTCCATCGCAT